GGGGAGGCTTGAACACACCAGTGAGCCTTCTGGAGTTCCCAGAAGGAAGGGACTGGAAAACGAGGACCTCCGCAGTAGATCCACTCTGCAGCTCCTTGGGCAGGGCATTTCTCTGGGAAGCACTCTAAGGAGCCCACTTCGGGATGGTCTCCCACCAGGGAGCATCTGGTTTGTATTTTCCCAGCAAGTTCCGCACCTTGCAGCAGCCTTTGGAAGGCACCTGACGTCCACACAAGTGTTTCCCTCTGGGTTTTGAGATTACGGCTAGAGGCTTCAGCTTGCACTGCAACCACTGCAGCTACCTGTCCACGAGCTACAGGGCGTGCGCAGAAAGAAAGAGGCCTTGGGGCTTTCATGACCTCGTGTAGTTTGCCTTCCCCTGGTGCAGGCTCTCCCAGTCACCCAGAAAGTCAGTCTCTCAGAACGTGCAGCCAGCCCCGGATGCAGAGCCAGGGTGTGAAGTATGGCGCCCCTGATGATGAGCCCCCCACCTCTCCAGGAAGGAGCAAAAGGAGCAAATGGGCAGGGAAAAACAGTAGGATTCGGGGCACAACTGTGGCCAGATCTGTGTCTTTCTCCATTCAGACACCACTATCATATGGAGGTAGGCCTAGGGTATTCACAATCCCCACCAGTTTATTCTGATTACAGAAATCGCCAGCATTTATTGAGTATTTATATAAATGGCTCAGACACTAGCTAAGCCATTTAAATGAATCACCATCTTCAAGGCACAGCAGGTTAAGTCCTCCTGTGACACTGGCATCCCATACAGGTGCCAGTTCAAGTCCTGGCTGCTCTGCTATTGATCCAGCTCCCTGCTAATGTGCCTGGGAAAGCAGCAGAAGATGGCCCAAGTACTTGACCCCTGCCACCCATGTGGGAGCCCCAGATGGGGTTCCAGGCTCCTGGCTTTGGCCTGGCCTAACCTCAGCTGTTTTGGCCACTGGGGAGTGAACTAGCTGATGGAAGACCTCTTTGTTTCTCTCTCTCTCTCTCTGTCACTCTGACTTTCAAATAAATAAAAATAAGTATTTAAAAATAAATTAATCCGGTGCTGCGGCTCACTAGGCTAATCCTCCACCTGCGGCACCAGCACCCCGGGTTCTTGTCCCGGTTGCTCCTCTTCCAGTCCAGCTCTCTGCTGTGGCCCGGGAAGGCAGTGGAGGATGGTCCAAGTGCTTGGGCTCTACACCCGCATGGGAGACCAGGAGGAAGTACCCGGCTCCTGGCTTCGGATTGGCGCAGTGCGCCTGCCACAGTGCACCTGCCATAGCAGCCATTTGGGGGGTGAACCAATGGAAGGAAGACCTTTCTCTCTGTCTTTCTCTCTCTCTCACTAACTTTGCCTGTCAAAAAAAATTAATCACCATCTTCCATCCTCAAAATAAACCTTTGAAAGTGGCACCACAGGCATTTTTTTTAGTACAAGTGAAAGAATCACAGAAGAGCTAAGCAAACTGCCAGTTGTCACACAGCTCAGAAATGGCGTAGCTGGAATTCCAGCGGAGATTTGTCTGACCCGATAGAGGTTATTGGCCTTTGGGCACATCTCCTGAGATTGTTCCCTGAAATTCTTTCCTCCACCCCACAGAGATCACAGAACAGACCTGCCCTAGGACAGCCCTTGGGACGTGGGCATTTGAAGACAGCGCTCTCGCTCCCTGGATCTTGTCTTGTCCAGGACAAGCCCACAGTTCTCTCAACAGGTCTGTCACCATCCCAGCCCATACGTGAACAGGCGTTCTATGGAAGGGATGCCGCTTTCTGTCGGCTGAACTTGCACACCCCACTTGCCGGAGTACGATCAGGTGAGCGGAGCAAACAGCCCTGTGTTTGCAGCCATGCCCCCGGGGAAGAGGGTGCTCGGCCCCTTCCCACAGCAGGTACTGGGGAGGGCGTGTTGACTGCTTTCTCATCTCCTCCTCCCCATGAGAACACGGGAAACGGCGCCTTCCCTTCCGAGATTGCCTCCCCGCCTCTGCTTTCTCAAGGAAATGCTTTTCCAAGACCCACTCCATCCTGGAAGGGAAGGTTCCAGCCCCGCGCGGCTGCTCGCTGCCACCTGCAGGAGCCCCCATGCCCTGGCATCTCTCTCTCTGTTCCCCAGCATGGTGGAGACTCACTGGCCCAGCTGGAACCCTCAGCTCTTAGGGTTGGTAGGGATGGAGCCCGCCAGCAAGGGAGAGATAGAGATGGGTGTGTCTTCACTGCACAGACTCCAGGTTATCTACCCCGGGGAAGCCAGCAGGTGCTGGACTGGGAGCCCAGAGATCCATGCTGCCGGCCCTTGAGGTCCAGGTGCATCCTCCAGATACAAATTGCTCGAATGCAGGTTCTGGTCCTGCCTGGTCATCTGTGTGACCCAGGGCAAGTCACAAACTTCTTTGTGCCCTACTCTCCCATCTGCACACCAGATTGTAATGGTGCCTGGTTCTCAAGATCGCCGTGGGGACCACACGAGTACAGGCCTGAATGCAAGGCAGAGGGCCTGGCACAGGACCGGTGTTCATGGGTGCGTCTTGCCCCCATTGCTAGCACTGCTTTATACAACTCGATTAGGGATCGAGTTCACAAATGGAGAGAGCATTTTAAACTCAGAGAGGACTTTCGTTATTCTTTCCTTTGACCCTATAGTTCAGTGGGGTGAGAACATCAAGACTCACGGCTGCAGTTGTGTAGGTAGAAACACCAAAGCCCAGAGAGGTCAAGGGATGGGTCCAAAGTCAGACAGTGGATGCACTATTAGATCTCAGACCACCTGACCTCCCACCTTGGGGATCCTGAGGCACGGCTATGCTGACGCTCGGCATGGACTATCATCAGATTCCCATGTTATCTATTTGACTTACTGACTAAAATCAACAGCTCGGGCTGGCGCCATGGCTCACTTGGCTAATCCTCCACCTGCGGTGCCGGCACCCCAGGTTCTAGTCCCGGTTGCTCCTCTTCGAGTCCAGCTCTCTGCTGTGGCCCGGGAAGGCAGTGGAGGATGGCCCAAGTGCTTGGGTCCCTGCACCCGCATGGGATACCAGGAGGAAGCACCCGGCTCCTGGCTTCAGATCGGCGCAGTGCTGGCCGTAGTGGTCATTAGCGGAGTGAACCAACGGAAGGAAGACCTTTCTCTCTGTCTCTCTCTCACTGTCTAACTCTACCTGTCAAATAAAAAAAATCAAGAGCTCGACTCATGATCCTGGACATAAGATTTGCAGGCTGGGACGGTCCACAGGCTCCCTCCCTCCATTTCCCGTGGGGTGTCCCAGGATGAGATTGCTTGTCTTTCCATTCCCTGGCGTGGCTCGTGCAGGGGTCCACAGCTGGTCCAATCCCTGCCTGGGGTGTGTCAGTTTATAGATGGACTCACTCCCCAGCCCATCATGCCCTGGGACATCAGGTACAGCTATGGCTCATCGGGTGATTCCAAGCTGGGACTTGAGTGGCGCCGAGTGTTCCAGGGGTCTTCCACAGGCCTACCCTCCACAGCCCTACCCTCCACAGCCCTCTAAGCTCCAGGAGGGGGCCCAGGCTCTCTTTTGCAATGACCCAAGCCTCCTGAGGGTTCTAGAAGACAGCAAGGCAGGATGGGAGTGGGAGGTGGAAGGAGAGGGTATCTGGCTGTTCCAGACACACCCTCCTAGTTTGCTACCCCAGAGGGCCTCTGAAAGGAGATTTGCGGGGATTCCTGCCTGGAGCTGGGAGACACCCTGTTCTATGAAGTGGCCTTAGAGTGCCTACTTTCCCACCATCACCCATCTGGTCCTGATAAATACCAGTCCTGCGCCTGCACTGACCTGCTTGCAGGCTGCCTGTGAGCCCCTGGGAAGCACATTTGTTTATCTCGGGCCTCCTTTGGCCCCAGGAGCTGTTTCTCTGCCTCCTCAAGAGACGTCAGCCTGGGCTCCTCTCACCCCTTATCATCCAAGGATGTTCCAATGACATCAGCTTCCCGAGAGCTGGACAGTTCCCTTCACTTCAAAGCCTGCCTTTCTTAGCCCCCTCCCCCCATCCTCACTCCCATGTTCACTCTTGGATTCACCCTTTGAACCCCAACAGTGCACAAAACTGGGCTCTCCCAGGCCACAGGCCCCCCGAGCATGGTGTGGTGCCTTCGTCCCACAGAGCAGCAGACAGAGCCAATGGGGCTGAGGATTTTAAAAGAGGGTCTCTGGTTACAAATGAGCAGCTCTGAAGGGGAAGAAAACTGTCTGGCTACATGACAGAATCACTCTTAAATGTATTACGGGGGGCTGGCACCATGGCATAGTGGGTAAAGCCTCACCTGCACTGCCGGCATCCCATATGGGCGCCGGTTCAAGTCCTGGTTGCTCCACTTCCCATCCAGCTCTCTACTATGGCCTGGGAAAGCTGTAGAAGATGGCTCAAGCCCTTGGGCCCCTGCAACCACATGGTAAACCTGGAAGAAGCTCCAGGCTCCTGGTTTCAGATCTGCACAGCTCCAGCCATTGCAGCCATCTGAGGAGTAAACCAGCAGATAGAAGAACTCTCTCTCTCTCTCTCTCTCTGTAACTCTGCCTTTCAAATAAATAAATAAATCTTTAAAAAATTTATTACGGGATCCAGCAATACATTCTTATTAAATTTTTCTTTTGAATGGCCACTAAGTACCAGGTTCTTTTTTTTTTTTTTTTAGAGACTTATTTATTTGAAAGACAGAGTGAGAGAGAGGGGAGAGGAGACAGGGGAAAGAGAGATATGTTTCATCAGCTGGTTCATCTCCCAGATGCCTGCAAAAGCCAAGGCTGAGCCAGGCCAAAGTCAGGAGCCAGGAACTCTATCCTGGTCTCTCACATGGGTGGCAGAGGCCAAGCACTTGGGCCATCTTCTGCTGCCTTCCCAGGTACATTAGCAGGGAGTTGGACCAGAAACAGAATAGCCAGGACTTGACCCGGATGCCTGCCTCACAAGCCGCAGCTTAACCTGCTATGTAATAATGGGGACCCCAGTTCCAGGTTCTTATTCTGAGCGCAAGGGAAGGAGAATGAAGACTAAGACAGACAAAGCCAGCTGCTGCCTTCAAGGAGCTGACATCCCAGGGCAGTCTGAGTGACAAACACGCGCCAGGCAGAGAAGTACTCAGTGCTCCCGTGGGGTAAGGCTCAGGTGTGCCTGCAGAGGAGCGGGGAGAGCCAAGGAACGGGCTGCACATGGAGGTTTTGCCCCTATGCAGACTCGAACAAGGACACGAAGTGAACTGCATGGAAGACCTGATCAAAGAGCTCTGGGCAGAGGGCACAGGGCTGAGCAGAGTGTGGCTGCTATGTTCAAGGTCACCAAGCCACTGGGGCTGGAGTAGAGGGAGCAAGGCAGAAGGTGAGAGGACGAGGCTGGAGAGAGGAAGGAGCCAGCTCGCACAGGGCAGGGGGTGGCCAAGGCAGCCTGGGTGCCAGAGTCAACCCAGACAACCATGTCATATGGGGTTCTGTGACAGCAGGAGGCAAGAACAGCTCCACTGGACTGGAGCTGAGGGCAATGGGACGGACTCCTCTGTGCCCCAACAGACCGAAATTATTGACTGTATCTGGCCTTACACAGAAAACATTTCTTATTCTCTACTGTTGAGATGTGAAGAACGGCATGGCACCGGGACTGCATTTCCAGTGTTACGGAAAGTTACTGGAGCATTCTGAGCAAGCAGTACAACCTCATGTACACATGTCCGCACGTACTCGGGCTATACTACGGAGGGCTGACAGCTGGGCCTGGGGAGGCTGCCAGTGGGGTGACAGGGAGCTGGGATAATGTCCCAGGAGAGGGTGGGGGCTTTGTAGAGGGTGGTGGCATTGGGTGTGCTGAAGTCAAATGCATCTGGGGACATGGGCAGAGTGGTCACACTGAATGGGTGTGAGACAGTAGAGGAGTGAAGGACGACCCTTAGGATCTGAGCTTGAACAACGGGGTGAATGCTGGTGCCACTTACTGACCTACAGAGGACCAAGGGGGCAGAGCCTGCAACACGGGCTTGAGGAGTCAGAAGCTCTGCTTTGGCTGTGATCCGTCTGAGATGAGGATTAGACGTTTATCTGCCCATTCACGCAAAGGGTACACTTCTAAAATATAAGGAATGATGGCGTTGGGGCCGGCGCTGTGGCATAGTAGGTAAAGCCACCGCCTGCAGTGCCAGCATCCCATATGGACACCGGTTTGAGTCCAGGCTGCTCCACTTCCTATCCAGCCTTTGCTACAGCCTGGGAAAGCAGCGGAATATAGCCCAAGTGCTTGAGCCCCTGCACCTGTGCGGGAGACCCTGAAGAAGCTCCTGGCTTCAGCCTGGCCCAGCCCTGGACACTGCAGTCATTTGGGAAGTGAACTAGCAGTTGGAAGACTCTCTCTTCCCCCCTGCCCTGCCTCTCCCTCTTGTTCTTTGTGGCTCTTTCAAATGAATTAAACGGAAAAAAGAAACAAAGATTGATGATGTCATTGACGCTAATTTGAAAAAAGAGTGCATTGAGAACTTACTGTTGTATACGCAGTATTCAATATTTATTCTCACAACAGTCTATAAGGCAAAACTTCCCATTTGTCTCTCCCATTTTCCTGATTAGAAAGTCGAGGCTTAGAAAGGTTGAGCAGTTTCCCCAAAGTTACGTATGGAGTTTCACAGTGAAGCTGGGAGACAAAGCCGGGAGTCCAGACAGCACAGCGATTCCTACCCAGGAGTAGGCCTTTCTTTTCTTGCTGCTTCCTTTGGGGCATTATTGTTTGAGGATGTAATGGACAAATTGAGTTCTCCCAGGTTCCTGGAACTGTTTCTACATACCAGAGACAATAAGATACTGTTGTTTCTCATCTCAGAATTTAGTAAAGTTGAATAAACATGCTTCCATTATAACACTTTCCTTTATACTTTTGAAATTATGAAAGTAATCTATCCTTGTCAAAATTTTAAATATGTAAAAATAGAGAAAATTCATAATATTTCCAATCCTCAGGTATGAATATGGCTGAACACTGTGGGACTGTTTGAAGGCTACACTTGGCTGCTGTGTGGATAGCAACTGTTTGCTTCCCGTGTTCAGAGCTGTGGGCTCAGAAAGTAAAGAAGACCCCCCCAAAAGAACCAGCACCCTATATGGCAGAGGGGCCAGGTGATAACAAAAGGGGCTGACATTTATCAAAATAGCATACAGCTTTGTGTTGAGAATTGCGCCAAGTGCTTCAACTTCATGAGCTTATTTAATTCATGCACCCATTCTACAGTTGAGGAAACTGAGGCTTTCACTATTCCCAAGCAACAGAACTGAGATTTTAACCTAAGTGTATTGGACCTGAGAGCAGATGTCCTTGAACTAGGCATATTCCATGCTTTGAGAAAAATTGTAGCCCACTTAGAAGGCAAGGAAGGGGCCGGCGCTGCAGCTCACTAGGCTAATCCTCCGCCTAGTGGCGCCAGCACACCGGGTTCTAGTCCCGGTCGGGGCGCCGGATTCTGTCCCGGTTGCCCCTCTTCCAGGCCAGCCCTCTGCTGTGGCCAGGGAGTGCAGTGGAGGATAGCCCAGGTGCTTGGGCCCTGCACCCCACGGGAGACCAGGAAAAGCACCTGGCTCCTGGCTCCTGCCATCGGATCAGCGCGATGCGCCGGCCACAGCGCACCAGCCGCGGCGGCCATTGGAGGGTGAACCAACGGCAAAGGAAGACCTTTCTCTCTGTCTCTCTCTCTCACTGTCCACTCTCGAGAAAAAAAAAAAAAAAAAAAAAGAAGGCAAGGAAGGGCTTAACAAGTATTTCTTGTACACACAAATCAAAGTTAAGGAGTCTGATCATTCAGAACAAAATTAAGAAGGGACAGAGCAAACTGGTGCCATGCAGGAATGACTGACACATTCATCCATTCATTCATTCAACTTACATTTATTGACACCTGCCATGTGCCTGAGATACACACACTGGGGACCAGCAGTGAATGAGACAAATTAAAATCCTAACCTCATGGTACTGACATTTGCATGGATGGATCACCACGCATGGCTGAGTCTGGCTCCTCCCCCAACCCCGCCCCGGCCCTGGAGGTCCGCCCCATTGCACTGTGTTGCACGCACTCATCTCATGACAATCCTCTTGTTCTCAACTGTGAAGGATTTCAGGAATCGGAAGGCTCATTACAGCACTTCTATTATACTCTTTAGACCTCACATAGTCTCTGATCAGCTTATTTCTGCTCAAATGCCAATCAGAGCCACGAAGTGGGGTTTCTAACCTGAAGTGGCAGCCTGGCGGGGGTCCCCGTGGATGAGAGCATTTTGTACACACAGACATTTTTTGGTGGTTGGATGGCAGTGGTGGGGAGCCCTTTCTCCAGTGGAGTGTGTAACCTCTGAAAAGGTAGAAACCCCCGGCTCTCATCTTTTTCCAGCTCGGCGCGATTTCCCATCATGTGTGCCTGTTGACTCCTCCTGTGCTAACAGTCTCACACAGAGCTGAGACTGAGCGGCATTCGGGCTCTGCTTTCAGAAACTCTGTGAGTGCAGCCTAGGTATTTTTCCAGGCACAGCATAAAACGGAACTTAATTCATTCACATCGACTCAAGGGGAATGTTCCAGGCCCTCAGCTGCTGAGAAAGGAAAGATCCCCTCACTAGGCTTCACACAACCCTCTTTCCCTTGGTTCTTATTTGAGTCTCACCCCTGGCCCCGACTCCACACCGTGGCGCTACACCATCTCCCTGAGTACACACACTCTTAGCCCGCTTTGAGCCAAAGATAATAAGACTGTTCTGATAGTTGAAGCAAGAACAGGCTTCCTAAGCAGGTTGTTCATCTGCCAGAATTCCTGCTTGTGGTGCTTATTCTTCGATTCCAATATCAATCACCATCTCTACAAGGCAGAGCAATGGAACAGAAAGTACAGACAGTCTCCTGGTATTGCATTTTGTTGAAAGCTGGTAGCCCACGCCGGTGGAACGTTTGCGGAGCAAGGTGTTTGTGAACACTCGTACCTTCATCGCTTCAATAAACACACAGCAAGTATCTGCCGTGCTCATCCACTTTCTTTCTTTCTTTCCTTTTTTTTTTTTTTTTTTTTTTTTTTTGACAGGCAGAGTGGACAGTGAGAGAGAGAGACAGAGAGAAAGGTCTTCCTTTGCCATTGGTTCACCCTCCAATGGCCGCCGCGGCTGGTGCGCTGCGGCCGGTGCACCGCGCTGATCCGATGGCAGGAGCCAGGAGCCAGGTGCTTTTCCTGGTCTCCCATGGGGTGCAGGGCCCAAGCACCTGGGCCATCCTCCACTGCACTCCCTGGCCACAGCAGAGAGCTGGCCTGGAAGAGGGGCAACCGGGACAGAATCCGGCGCCCCGACCGGGACTAGAACGCAGTGTGCCGGCGCCGCAAGGCGGAGGATTAGCCTAGTGAGCCGCTCATCCACTTTCTAACCACTGAGGACAAAGGACTGGATGAGACAGACGTGGGTCCTGTGCTGCTATGGCTCATGCAGGAAAGAGATGGCACGAGCAAAGACAAGTGGGGTAAAAGCTATGAAAAAACCACGAAGCACCATCTGGAACATGTCACCAAAAGACCTTATGCAGTTTCTTCTTGTTGAGCAACAAGGAAGATGTCCCTGCTGACTGATAGAACAGCTCTGTGGGGACCCAAGAAGAACTTGTTTAGGCCAAAGTGCATGGAGAACAGATAGGGAGCCCTCAAGGACTGTGCAAAGGCCCTGTGGCCCAAACTAGTCCATCATGTTGGAGGAACTGGAACAAAGTCTGTGTATGCAAAGTAGTAAAAGTGAAGCCACAGATGTCCAGAAACCAGGCTGGAGAAGACACTGGGACTCTGCAGAGAGAGAGCTTTGTAGGCATTTGGGGAATTAGGAGCAAGCTTCAGAGAGACGTGTGTTTCATGATCAGATGTGAGGTTTTTAAATGATCTCTCTGCCCACAGCATGGAGAATGGACTGGAGATGGACCCAGGCTGTACCGAGGAAACCAGTTCAGCGGTGTCTTTGGGAGCCTTGGGGAGAGACGCAGGAAGACACGGATTCACCTAGAAGAAAACAGGGAGCCTGACCCAACAGAATGCGCAGGTGAGTGAGGAAGAGGCTAGGGTTAGTCCTAAGCAAGCATTTCTCGTGGTCCTAAAAGCAGTCCTCATCCCCCCAACCCACCCCTCCCCTGGCAGACAGCTGTTTGCAGGATCACTTCAGTGGTGGTCACAAGAGGCCAGGTTTGAAGCTAATGTCTGGATCAGGCCCTCCTGGTCAAGACAAAGTTGGCTCTTTGGTTTTAATGCTGCCTCCTCAGAGTGGTCTTCCTTGAGCCCCTCGTCTGCATTGCTCCCCACAAGCCCAAAGCACATTACTCCATCTTCTTCATAGCACTTGCTACTCGCCGACATAAATGTATTTATGCATCTGTTTCATTGTGTTTTGTCCAGTATGGCCCACAAGAGTGTCAGCCCCGTACAACATAAAGCCTGCCATTCTTGGGTCACAGAGCCAGACACATAGCGGGTGCTCAGTGAGTTAAATGAATGAATGACTCCAGAAAGACCAGCGGCTGCCAGACCGCCCTCTCCTTGAAGAGCTTGGATGTCCATGTTAGCCTCAACTCCAGGCCTCAGTACGGGCTGGACAGCCCTTGTGGCCGAATTCCCCACCAGTCCCCTCTGGCCTCCATCTCGACACTGGGCTCAGGGCAGTCAGGGTTTTCTGGGAATCAGCACCGCCATGGGGGTGTCCTTTTCTGTACTCCCCCAAAAAGAAGAACCATAGCACTGGCATTTTTCCAAACTCCACACCTGGGGGCACAAAGTGAAGGTGATGGGATCCCAGGACAGAATTCCCGCCTCGTGCCCACGCCTGCAAGAGCTCATGAGCAAATATTGCTTGCGCTGCTGATTCATTGCTGCCCCCCCCCCAAGTTCTCCCTACAGATCTCAGGGCCAAAGTCAACTACACGTGTAATTCATAACTGGTTCTTTTTAACCCAGGATATTGGACAGGATTTGGTTCACTCAGCTAAATTCCTACTTGGAAAACACACAAGATTCTTCTCTTTCACACTTTTAAATTTGGTTTTGAAAAGAGGCTGTGCAGATAGGGATTGCATTCCGCAGAGGGGAAAGAAACAAGGTGTGCTGGGATCCAGCAGGGTCCTGGAGAGCCCACGGGTTGGGTCTCCAGGTCTCGCAGTGTTGAGTCAGTGGCTGCTCTGAGTGTGTCTTCTGGTTCCCTTCAAGGTGCCCGCCATCTCCCCGAAGCCGGGAGGAAAATGACTCATCACGGACATCCTCATCCAGTCATGATTTCAGCTGAAACCAAGATATGGTACTGGTGGGATAAGGTGAGCTGTCGGCTTACAGACCCAGTGCATTGTCCCAGAGCTGGTTGGGACAGGGGCAAAGAAGGGCTGGACTGGGCCAAACATTTCTTTCTTCACACTGGCAGATCGCTGAGGCTGCTCTTGGACTGCTCACTTCATCAGGATGATTCAGCTCCTGGAAATCGTCATTGGGGAAATAGAAGTGAACGCTTACATCACAGGGTCTATTTGGGAATTCATAAAAATCCACTCTGAGAGTTGTTACGGAGGGCTGAGCACATGAGAGCCACAGAGCCATCCCTGACACTGCCACGTGCACTACACCACTGCATCCCAGCGCAGGTGTGAGAGCACGGTGGTCTATTGCAGGGTCACCGTTCACTCCGTGACGGGCACTGGAGGCGGGTGTTACTGTCTGCGCACGGGGTCTTCAAAACATCTACCGAAGATGTGAATTGTGAAAAAGAACCATGCCTGGATTTCAACATTTTTTTTTTGCCCCAAAATAAACCTTTAATCCCCTTCTCCATGAGCTTTTTGATTTCACGAATAAAGAGACCAAGGAATCAGAGACATTAAACGGTTTGCTCAGGATCTCAGAGGCACTAAGTTCCAGACGTGGAGCCCACCCGTGGCTGCTCCATGCTGTTGCCTGCCTGTCTCCAGCCAAAGACTCTACTTACCACAGGCAGGAAAAGAGAGTGGGTTTGGTGCTTGTCTGTTTCCCGAAAGTTTCCTCAACTACTTCTCACCATACTAAGTCAAAACAACACCTGAGCCTGAGAAGCTCCTCCAAGTGAGAGGGCTGAACAAGGTTATCACTTGAGCATCTCGCAGGCGCAAAGCCCTGGGATCCTATCCTGATTGATCGCACAAAAGCCCCTTCTTCCTCTTTTCAGGTTTGCAGAACATCCCGCAGCAATTTGGAGCCCATGGCAGGGTTTCTGTCAAATCCTCAGAGAGGGTAATTATCTCAGATCAGCAGCCGCCTGCGGAGGAGGGGAGAGTGGGTTGGGGCAGCTGCTCTGCTCCCCTGGTGAGCCATGGCTTCCTCTTTGGCAGCCTGCTGGGTCCTGCCTCCCAGCCTGAGCCCAGCGCAACTGCTCAGCCCACCACTGCCACAGAGGCTGCTCCTTGGGCCCAAACCCACTCTTCCCTCCTTCTAGCTCCTCTGCCCCCTCCCCAGTCCCCAGGGACCTCTGCTGTCCCCAGTGGAGAAAGAGCTTCCTCACTCATTTTCCCCAGCTGCTTCTTTTTTGACCATTCATGTCTCAGCCCAAGCAACCCCTCTTCCGAGAGGCCAGCCACTTGGTCACTTTGTTTCCAGCAGCCTTAACATTATTTGAAATTCTTTTGCTTCTGTATTTCATTGTCTGTTTCCCTCACATTAAATATTAAGTGATAGGAAGGCAGAACCCCTCCTGTCTGGTCCATTCTTGCCCAGGTGCCTCGACTGGAGTAGCAGGTGCTCTAGAACTGATGTGAACAAAATCCTTTATGCCCCCCACTTCCTTATCTGCAAAGTGGAAGCGATAATATTTCCATTGTGACATTTTTTTTAACTGAAAAAAATGTGCTTGTGAAAGACCAGGTTCCAATACGTGGAAGTTTATTGTTATTATTATTGCATTGAAAGAGGTACTGTAGACTGGGGTGGGAGGGGGGCACTACCGCAAGCTTTGTCTGTACGTGACCTTCACTCTGAACTGGGCGTTTGACCTTCAGCACACAGCTTAGCTTCTCTAAGGCACAGTTTGCTCATCTGTGACACAGAGATAATAATAGCACGGACTCCTGGAGCTATGTGCAGATTAAATAAGCCAATCCACAAGAAGGATTCAGAACGATTCTAGCACATTCTATGCCTTCAATCAATGTAAGCTCTTGGTGTGGGCCAGATATAGGACTTCACATTTTCCATTACACCTCCCAGCCGTGCTATTCAGCCTCCAAAGCACTTTGACACAAATCCTCTTAGTTCTTGCTTCTGAACCTTTATGAGGGACAGGAATTACCCACTCTATTTTATAGTTGCTAAAACCAGCAATGTTCAGAGAGGTCAAGCTACAAACCCAAGATCCCACAGCTAGCCAGAGGCAGAAGGGCACGAGCCTTTGATTCAGGAATTCAAATTCTTCTCATCACTACCCTATGCTTGCGGCCTTGCCCTGGCTACAGATCCAGAATCTGAAGCCATTGCATGGGCCAGCATGGCAGCTCCAGTCTTCCTGCTAAAAAGAAATGGAACTTCTAGGCCAACTGGGTCTGTCCCCAGTCCGCTCCCTGTGAGCCCAGTCGAGGGTTTGGCAAAGCCACAAAGGCAGATGGAGTCTGTGGCTTTCACCATGAGAGCCCATGGTGCTCACACGCTTTGAACTTCCCAACAACATCAAAACTGCCCCACACTTGCCATGGGTGGGTCAGAGCAGGGCGCTGGCGTGGTGCCCGAGGGCTTTCTCTACCGTCTCAGCTGGGGTGGGGCGCGCCCACGGCAGCAGGGTCCTCCCAGCGGATCAGCCTGGCCCAGCGGCCCCTCCCTGGGCCGGCCCCTGCCTCCCTGCAGCCTTGCGCCCCCTGTGGAATGGTTTCCAGGGTGGCCTGCCCGGGCCTTGGCAGTGCCTCCCGTGCCAGCGACAGTTCGGAGAGGCACTCTGTGCTGGAAGTCAGGAATCCAAGGGGGACTGGATGCAAATGAAGTGAGGGGGGAAAACAAACTGTGCTCACCCCAAAGGAACTGGCGCCCCATCAGTCTTTTCAACTCCCAGCGGGAGCAGATTTGTTGTGACTCATGCGTCAGACTTGAAATAGTTTCACGCGGCATACAGATTAGCCCAAGGCACAGCAGAGGCCAGTGCAGAGCTCCCAAGAGGAAGACAAGGCTGCCACTCTCAGAAAACACTCATGGGCTGTTGGAGGCCCGCCCTCTTCCACTCCTCCCTGGAGCAACAGGGCACCCGGCGGGTGGTGTGGCGAGAAGGAAGTGGTACGGGGCGCGGCAGGGGGAGGGGAGATTTGGCCATCCTCTTCCTCAGAACCCTTCATCACAGCCCCTGCCCACCACCTGCCCTTCCTAGCAGTACCTGCAAGGCTCCCCACAAACTGGCCCTGTACTGGGCTGGGTAACCTCTTCCCAAAAATCCATGTCCTAGCCCCTCAGCATGCGACCTAATTAGGAAAGAGAGTCTGCAGATGTCAGTAGTTAGATGAGTTCGCCCTGGTTTGGAGTTGGCCGTAAACCCCATGACTGGTGTCTTTATATCCAGGCCCCGTGGAAGGGAAGACAAAAAGACCGGGGTGATGCATCTACCAGCCGAGTGATGCCAAGAACGGCTGACAACCCGCTGGAGCTGGGAGAGGCATGGGGCAGGCTCTCCCCCAGAGCCCCCTGAAGGAAGGCCCCCTGCCTGCACCTAGATTTTGGGCTCCCAGCCCGCAGGGCTGAGAAAGAAATGTCTGTTGTAAGCCACCCAGTTCCTTGCTCATTGTTGTGGCAATCCTAGGAAATGGATCCAGGGCCCAACCTGCAGGTTAGCCTTTCTCCCATCAGCCACCCTCCTCACACTATGTATGGGAGGAAGCTGTTGCATATTAAAATATATATATAATGACAGAGTTCAGGTCTCATTTACACCATGTCGGCTGCTCTGTGACTTAGGGCAAACCAATTCACTTCTCTTATTTCTAGTTGTCTGATCTGTAAAATGAGGACAGTAGTAGGAATGATGTGGGGTTGGACTATGAACATAGGCAGGTAACAAGAGGGAGACCCTATCAGCTACCAGACTCTCCTTGAGGAAGGCATTGCATTTGTTCAGAAAATGCAAATAAACCTCTGGCAGGAGGATGTGTTCCAAGCAGTGAAATAAATCAACAGCCAGGCCGTGTTAATGGACAGGATGGATGTGCAGTGTGTGAGCTGGGCTGACCATGGCAAGAGCTGGCTAGTCCGGGTAAGGAATGTAAAGTCCATGGGAAGAATCCAAGACAGAAGAAGGGCCAGCCAGGAAGAGAGTGGCAGAAGGAAGGAGCAACACTCCTCACACCAATGTTGGGTCAATCGGGAGAGTCTGGGAAGAAAACAGAAACCTCTAGCTGTGGTATTTGCAGTTTTCTGTGACAAAGCACACAAGATCAGCTCATTCCTCTACTGCTACAAATTATCAAGTCAAATCTAACTTGGGTACCAATGTTTTTATAATCATGGAGTCTTTTGATTGGAACTTGGAGAGGTACTGAGTTTGGAGGCTGGGTTGTCACAGGAGTAAAACCAGAAAAGCCCATGTAGATCCATGAGCTGTAGAACCAGGAGGGGACATCTGGTCTACCTGCACATGCAAGCAGCCAGCACACCACAGGTGCTGCAGAGGCATCAGAACAGATGCTGACCTCCACCCCTGCCCTCGCCTTCCTGATCACACCTTGCTCCCACCTAAGCTTTGGGTGACTTCCCCTTCCTCCACCACTTCTTCAGCTAGGTGAACCCTACCCCTGCTTTAAGAATCAGCTTCCTTCCACAGGAAGCCTCACCCCACCTACCCAACCAGAAAGGCACACTCCTCCCTCCTCCTGCCTCTCACATGGTCCCATGTGATGTAACAGGTACCATATTCCCTTTGGAGTGAATCAGTAGAAAGCAAAGCAAAAAGGCATGCAGAGGCAGACAAAGGAAGATGAGCTCAGAACAAAGAGGAGGACCCAGGAGGGGGTGGGGAAAGGGGAGACATCAAGAGCAGGGGTCACGGAAAAGCTCAAATGGCCAACTTTGTCCACGGTCATTTGTAGCTGCGGCTGGGCCAGAGGGACAGAGGGGAAAGGCGATATCTTCAGTGGGCCCCTTTGCGATGCTGAAATTCAAGCTTTTCCCTGATTCCTGAGGGCCATTCCAAAGCCCCGTGACAACAACTGCTTCGTTGGCGGGTGTGGTTTCCTGGAGGCCCTCTCCAACCACGTGGGCACCAATTACCAAAACCTCCACCCTGTCTCTGAACAAATCAACATGCCCACCAGGGCCTGAAATGGGCACACAGCGCCAAGCTGGAGCAAGTAAGATGCTGTGATCCACAGAGGGTTCTGGAAGGAGCTCTCCAGGAGCCTGGAAGTGGGGAATGACCCCCTGTGCCCTTCTGATGGGGATGACAGGAGAAAACAAGGTAGAGATTCCACCTTCACCTCTCCTACCTTTAGCACCTGTCTGGGCTACTGGGAGCCCAAGATACAGGAACTCAGACACGTTTAGCTGTTCTCAGGGAAATCCTTGCACAGGTAGAGACAAACGAGGGCAAGACACTGCAATGCGGGTGGCAAGGGAGTGTGATGGCCCAGAGGAGAGAGCCTAACCCCAAGGAGGGGTTACGTAAGAAAATGTATGACTTGGAGGGAGAAAAGATTCTATGATAGTCAGGGAAGGAAGCTTGAGGGGCTGGGGTTGTGGCATAATGGGTTGTGCCACTACCTGCAGCGCCAGCATCCCATAAGGACACTGGTTTGAGTCCTGGCTGCTTCACTTCCAAGCCTGC